TTGTCACGGGTTATGATTGTTGAAGGGTTGAATTTTTTAACGGGACGGTAGTTGTCAGAGGGGTAAACTTACCGCGTTCCAATCCAAGACCAGCCTCGAGCAGGCTAATCAGCTCGTCGAAGTAGCCATTGCGCTCGTACTGCTTAACGAGATCGGTGAGCTCTTCGGCGTGGACGATCAGGTTGAGACCGCAAATCTGGGCGAGACGGAATTCCTTCTTCGCGACGCAGGCTTCGTTGACTTGCTTCCAGACCTTGACGGAGTTGGCCTTCCTGGCACACTCGACAGCAGCTTGGTAGTCCTCCAGGTGCACAAGAGTGGTTGCAAGCTTCGCCCAGTTCGAAATGCTAGTGAAGAAGATCTTGGCCGCCTCATGGTAACCCTCCTCGTAAGCCTTGTCACCTGACGCTTCAACATCTGCAACGTTGGTGGCGCGGAGAAAGTCCTCGAGCTCGGGTAGTTGGTTGGTACGAGCGAAACAGAAAGCCAAGGCGGTGTCGACGGGTACCTCACGAAGAGTCTTGCGAGCCATTCTCAGGAACTTGATCAAGTCTTCGTCCTTGCCAGCGTGGGTAGCAATCTCAATGACTTCCAGGTAGTTGGATGCATCTCCGGCACGGATGTAAGATTCGATTGAGTCCGTGACACGAAGACCGTCCAGCTGTGCCTTGGCGACCCTGCTCCACACCTCAGGCGTGTCAACCCTGTCAGCATATTCATATGCTCGATCAATTGAAACAATGTGCTCAATGAGGACGTTGGCAGCCTCGACGTGATTCTCGTGCTTCTTGAAGATCTCGAAGGCCTCGTCGTACATGCCGACCTCGATACATTGCTGGGCAATGTCCTCAGGGCTGTACTGATCGAGTTGCTGGATGTAGTTCATAACTCTACCGCGATCGGACTTGCAGGCAGTGAGCATCAGCAAGTTCTGAAGGGACGGGTTATCACTGAATGTAGTTGGCTCCAAGATAATCTTCTCCAGCAGGTCGATCAGCTCAGCAGGCATGTCACCAGTGATGAAAGCCTTCACAGCAACAGAGACCTTGTCTGGATCGGTGGACGAAGGAACAGCCGAGGAAGTGACTTGGTCTACGAGCGATCGGCGATGGATGTTGTTAGGACTCAGGACATAATCCCAAACCTCGGAATCGGCTCGCTCCAGAAGGTAACGTGCTTGGGCCTTGAACATGGCGTTCTCGTTGGTGATATGAATCAGCTCAAGGTCATTCTGTCCCTTGCTGTAGGCGATGAAAGCCAGGTTGGGGTCACGCTTCTCGCAGTACTTGCCAACGGTGAGAGTGTCGTATTGGTCGTTCTCCTTCAGGAACTTCTCCGGGTTGTTGTTGGAATCGATGTAGATCTTGGCCAAGGCATTGTAGACGGCTTGCTGCTGGTTGCCACTTGCAAGTGTCTGCTCCAAGAACGGGAGAAGAAGCTTCAATCGGTTTCGCGACTCAACCTCGGCAACCAACTCATCGATTGGAATCGACGACGGCGTTACTGAAGCCAGAAGGCCCTTGATGATGCTTTCATCGCAGTCCACATCGAGCAGACCGCCAACGACAGCCGGTGTCCTGGCAGGGTTGACCCTCTGAACGTAGACTTCGATAGACTTGAACTGCTGCTTCTTGTAGAGGTACAGTACAAGATCGTGGATGAAGTTGAAGCGGTCGCAGACAATAATCAGAGGAAGCTGTTCCGTGAGGTTGGCCTCCTTCAAGAAGTTCTTGACCTTTTCTCCATTCAAAAATTGACTCTCTCGGCAGATACGCTCAACTTCGTTGAGTTGGCCCATAGTGGTCGCAGCCTCGATGTACTTGAAGTGAACGTCGGGATCTTCGCTGACGTTGACAATGGAACCCAGGAAGAAGTACAGACCCTCCGCGGTACGGTGCTTCTCTAGCAGATCGATGATCTTGGTGGCGCCAAGCAGATCAGAGTACTTCTGGGCGATGCGGATGACAGCTTGAAGGTTTTGGCGGATGTTGGTAGTGAGCATGGCGTCCAAGCACTCAAGCGACAGCTCGACTGTGAGCTGACCGAAGTAGTTGATGAGCCACTCTTCTGGAAGCTTGTCGGTCTGAACAATGATACGCTTGATCGCGGCTGGGTCATCATTGTGTTCCAGAGCACGAGTAAGCAGACCAGCGTTCTCGCAGAGCTGAGCGATGCGCATCTTGTCGTAGTGGTGGAACATTTCATTGCCCAGGATAGCATCTGCGACCTGAGGGGCATTGAGCAAGTTCATCTCGAGGAGCTTGGTCTGCATGTGGCCCTCTTCGGGTAGATCGTTGGAGAGAACATCCAGGAGGAAAGCGGTTGCCTGTTGGATCATGCCCTGTGACTGGAAGATGTCGACAACGCGGTCGATGCTGATCAGTGGGCCACCTTCGTTCTTCGCTAGCTGAGAAGCAAACTCGGCTCCCTTCTCGGCATTGATACGAACAACGTGCTGAAGCAAGACGTTGTAATCGGGTGTGTAGCCAACGCCGTTGCAGTACTGCAGGATGAGATCGTAGTGGCCGAGCTCCGCGAGCGCTGCGACAACCTTTTGGGATACGTTCGCCTCCTTGTAGATGGCCAAAGCGAGGTTCAGATCGTGGGGTTTGGCGAGATCACCGAGCTCCTCTGAGCAGTGAAGCTTGCCTTCCTTCTGCCACTTCTCGATGAGGTGCTTGCGGCCCTGAGCGAAAACAGGACGGGCCAACTCCAGAGTTTCCTCCTTGTTTAAACCACCCTTGTCTAGTAATTGACCAAAGTATTGTAGCAGAGTGGTGATCTGACCAGGTTGGTTGGGAACCTGGCGCAGCCTGTTGATCGTGTTCATTGTGCGGAGGAAGCCCCGGGGCGAGTTGGCAGCGACCTTTGCGGCTTCCGCGAAGTTTCCCTGGGACATGAGCGTCTCGAATCGCTGGGAGTAGAGCTGATCTGCGCCTGGAAGCCCGCCCTTGGAGGCAAGCTTGTACGCAATTTCAGCACACGCCGGGTTCTCCATGATGTAGGGAATCAGGGTGTCTTCCCGAATGGTTGTGTGCAGAACCTGTCCGCGCTTGTTGATGACGACTACACCAGTGCCTTCGTCATCTCGCGCCGTTGTGAAGACTGTCTCCTCAGATATCCGGTTCAGGAACAGAGCGGTACCGGTCTCGAGGTCGTGAAGGTGAATGAAACCGAACTTCGTAATTACGATTAAAATGCCGTACTTTTGCGCGATATGGATGCCGAGCGGGAAGTCACCAGTACCCTCGGCGGGCCAGTGGATCGGAATGAGGCGCTTCGGGAAGGCTGGGTTTGCGGCGTTGTGGTCGACCTCGACGATGTTGATCTTGGCTTCTCCAGATGAAGATTTCACAGCGAAGGCGAAGATCTTCGTGTCGGTTGAGGCGCCATCGAGACGGAGTGTGCCAAAGGTAGCAGCGTGACCCTCGAGGGGTTGGCTAACGTTCCTCGCCTTGGAGAAGAGCTGCATGTTTCCACGAATGCCACCGGCGGGGTTCGATGTGATACCGACCAAGCAAGACCAGCTCTCGTCATCGTTGGTAACGTAGTTGATGATCTGGTTGTTCTACACAGCGGGTTAGATGCGATTGGCGCTGAATGGCCCAGTTCACATACCTCGAGCTGTTCTTGGCGATCGAAGATCTTACGCGGCGCAACAGCGTTCTTCGAATCAAGCACATCCCAGTGGTATACGGCCTTTGTGCTGACTAGCGCAAGTGTCGTCTGGCTGATCCACCTCCAGAATTGGATGTCCTCCTGATGGCTGTAGGTCTGCAGACGCTCTTTGGTCTCGAGGTTGAACAGCTGCAGTGTCCGGCCTTGAGCCTTGAGAGCGATGATGGGCTCAGTCAAGTGCATGATGGCGCTGTCGGCGCGAATCGGTCTCCGGATGACATTGTTGGTGTTCTTGAGGTCGATGATGACGGTCTCGGCGGGCGCGTTGGCTTCGTTGTTGACCTGGCGCACGCAAACGTACTTGTCGGACTCGAGTGTCTACGGTGGCTGTTAGCATAACTTTGTCGTGTGCATACACCTTGTGGGATTACGTACGCAGTTTTGCCATGATATCGATGCCGGCTGGACTATGTGTTAGCTGAGGTCCTTGGTTGCCTTGTTCGCGGAAAGCGAGGCCTGGGACCAACGTACGAGAATGTTGAGGTTCGTGAGCTGTCAATTGTTAGCTTCAAGCACTTTGGCATGCAAGGGTCTGATGCGGCACATACCAGCGTCGGCTGAGTGACGTGCAATGGCACCTGTCGCTGGGCCATGTTTGCGACAGTCCAGCTCCAAGCTCACCGGGGTGAGAAAGCGCGCAAGAATCGGGTATCGGAAGAAAAGGAAGAAGTAGACCCAGGTGCACAACTCCAGAAGCGCGTGATAGGAAATGAGAGACGGTCGTATAAGGCGGGGTCGGGGTCGTGGAGGGTGATGCTGTTCGAGAAAGGAGCTCCTGGTGTTGTTTCCACATACGCTGGTTCGCCCTATGCTTGGCAAAGCTCCCGATTAGGTAAAACCCAATTGTGGCAGCTTTACCCAATGACGTTTGCTGCAGCGACCAATCCCGAGTACGCTCACTTTCCACGCCAACGTTTTTGATGCCTTTACCACGTTGGCGAGAAGTCGAAGGGAATATCTCGTCTATCGCACCTTGAATTAGCATTCAGTTCATCATTTCGCGTGTTCGTACAACAGCAAGTCGTGGGGCTAAGTGACGCGGGAACCCGTAGTTCCCCGGCGCGTCTCCGCGCATTGAGCATGAGAACAAAACGCGAATTCCACATTGATATCTCTGGACAACCTTCAAGATGACCCCAAGAACTTCAAGACGATCTCATACAGAGTAAGACATTACATTATACATCAAGGCCATGCTTGTGCTTCCGATACCATCGCAGACTACTCGCACTGAACGTAATCCCAAACATAGCAACCATTACAACCTTCAAATCAAGCATGGCAGATACGAAACTCATTTCCTTGTCTGATCATCACAAGGCCTACAATCCCACTTCCTGGAACTTTGACTCTCGATTTGGACTTCCCTTCCTGGCCTTCTCTGCATCCGAGCCAAATGCTGGGGGTGGTGCCAGGGCTTCATCGAAATGGTCACGCGCTTCCTCGAAGCTCTCGCCAGCAGATGTCGCTGTGGCCCCGCTTACAACACGTTCTGCAGACCTCCCACGTGCCAAGCTGAATTCATCTTCATCGCCAGACAGAGATGAGACGTCTGAATAGCGTTCTTCCTTGACGACACCAACGTGAGGAACATACGAAGGCTCAACATGACCCAAGTCCTTTGGGCGATCGGCCTCACCAGATATGCGGCTGTCTATCGATTCACGAGCCGGTTCGCTAGCGCTCTTTGAAGAGAGAGATTGAGACTGGGGTTGTGAGACGGAGTTTCGGAGAGTCGCGCCACCGATGAAGCCAGGCTCTTGTTCTTTGGTAGTACCTTCGGTCTCTGCCGCAGGAGCATGCTTGGAACGCCTCTTCAGTTTGCTCAAGAGTGACTTGAAACCCTTGGAGGATCCTTGGGACGTCGGCGAGGTTGGATCGGCCGAATCGTGCTCCGGTATGGGGTGAGCTTCTGTGAGCTCTGCCTCTTCGTACAGATCCTCGTTATCGCGTGGAGTTTCATTGGCCACCACTGCAGGTTCAGCCGTGGTGATCTCTTTTGATTTGCGTTGTTCTCCTGCAGTCTTGGTCTTCTCAGCTTCCTTTGCCTGTTTCGCTGCTAGTTTCTCTTCGGCAGCCCGCGCTTTGGCAGCCCTCTTCTCTTCGTCTGTCAAAGGTTAGTATTGTGAGAACTATGCGATGATGAATACGTACCCCTGCCCTGCTTCTCCTCTGCCTTGATCTCGGCGGCACGCTCTTTCTCCGTTCGGATGCGGCGCTTCTCTTGCTCCTGGTCAAGTCGGCGCTCTTCCTCCTCAGCACGTCGTCTCTCGTCCTCGGCACGGCGCTTATCCGTCTTCTCGGTGATCTCGTCCAATGTAGGCTGAATCCTCGCTTGGGCAATAGCATCAATGTCTCCTTGGTCCATCCATTTACCGTTACCGATGTGTACTCTTCCGTGATTTTCCATACGGGTTTCAGAGTTGGCTAGGGCTCGCTGTCGCGCCTTCTCATCCCAATCGTCCACCATTGCGGATGACATCTTGCCAGTCTTATCATAGATCTGCTTATCCATGCCCTGCATTTGAGCTTGTACCTTGCGCTGTGCTGCAGCAAGCAAGGACTTGCGGTCGTTCTCGCGTTTCTTTGCATCGACATCAGCCAGCTGTTTGTTGAATTGGTCCATCTGCGTGCGAATTCGTCTTGAGCGGAAGTCGTCTTCGTCAGAATCCGAATCTTGCGCCGGAGCTGTCTCGGAAGCGCTGTGCGCGCGGTTGCGTCCACGCCGCATAGAGAGCTTCGAGCGTGTCGGCTGATCATAGCCGTAATAGCTTCGGTAAGCGGCGTTCTCGTCGTATCCTATCTTGGATAGTCTTTCTTGTGCGAGCTTCTGCGCAGCCTCCTGGATCCCAATATAGCGCATAGCTTGCTGCTTGATGTCGGCCTCGCCGGTTGCAGGCTGTTGACTATGGGCTGCCGTCGCTCCTGTACGGGCAATGGACTGGCCTGATGCGCCATCAATGTGTTGCTGCTGCACATCGTAAATCTTCTTGGCCATGGAAATGGCGGAAGCTCGAAGGGCATCGTTATGCTTCTTCTCTTCCGTCTCTAGTGCAACTGGTGGAGCGCTCGTGTACATGTCGCGCGAGATGCTCTTCGCATGCTGGATACGTGCGGCTTCCATAGCACCATAGCCGCCGCGACTGGAGTCAACAGGAGTTGCTTGAGGTTTGGCCCGGGTCGATGCACTGTGGGCAAGCGTTGCTGCGCCCAATGCGTTCCTTGCAGAGTTCTTTGAGTCTGGATACAGCGGCGCAGTGGGTGGGTTTGATTGAGCGCGCTTGCGTCTTGATGCCGAGTGGGCGTCGGTGGCTGCAGTAAAGGCATTCTTCCTGCCCTGGTCTGTATATCCGTAATCCACGTCTGCGCTGGGTGCTGCCTTGCGCATAGCGATGGTAGCAGCAGAATGACCATCAGCACTAGCTTCAGGCTGCCATAGGTTCAGCTTTCCGCCATCTCTATGGGCGAGAAGCGCGGCCTTTGAGCCTGCTGCGCTTGCTTCTGGCTGCCACATGGGCGCCATCTTGTAACCGTTTGCGAGCAACGCAGCCTTGCCTGCCGCGGAAGATTGTTCGGGTTTCCACCACTCCGGGCTCTTCTTGTTCTGGTTGGCGAGTAATGCGGCGGCTCCGGCAGAGGACTGTGTATCAATTCCCACCACGGGGTAGCTGGGAAGGTCTTGGACTTTTGCGTATTTGAGGCTCGTCGCAGCGCCTGTGGATCTCTGTTAGGGTATGATGTAATGCGGTAATCATAACATTGCACTCACTGGCCGACGAGAGCTTTCCGTCTGCTCCGAGCGGATTGATGGGCTTCGACACGTTTGCTTTGGCAGGGCTACCGTGGTTGTGCGAGTAAAGCGCCGCTGCCGACGCCTGGTTTTGCAATGCGCTGGTCTTTGGATGCTGATGCGCGGATGGGTCAGGGCAACGCATGTTCGTCTCGGCGGAGGATCGCGGTGGAGCCGCCTGTTCCGATTGCTTCAAGGGTCTGCTGTCAGACGCGGGGGGCGCGTCCGTGGTAAGGGCTGTCGTCGCCATTGTGAAAGAGCGGGTCGAAGCAAGACGGGAACGTGTCAGGCGCTGCTTCGGGGGCGATCACAAGAAATAAGAGGGAAAGGCAAACGCCAACTAGGGTCACACACAGCGGCGCCCTCCATGGCTAAAATGACGAGAGGACGGCGATGATGTCATATCAACCTTGAGCTCTACCTAGGCCTGTGGAGGATCGCCGTAAGGGTGCGTTCCGCGTCGAAATCTCACACTAGCCTTACCACTCCAGGCCTGGTTCTAGCCTGAGCCCGACATAGCCTTGCCTGTCCTGATTGAAGCCAGCGACGGACTCACCGAAGCAGTCAAATCATGTACCAAGTGCGTCGAGGGTTCATCCTGTCTGTCAGCACCCTGGTGCACATCTGAAGATCACAGCCCTGCGTCGAGTGAACGAAGAACATCAGCGTACAGAACGTTACACTTGGCATAGTGGAACATAGCGGCACGACATGCAAGGAACAAACTGAACATGTGCTCCACCGTCTACACGGCCACAAAAACTGAAATTCGCAAGTATCCCAAGGTGATGTAGAGTTCTGAGAGGTAGGTGTTGAAATTGCCCTTGCACACCGTGGTGGCCAGGTTTCTTTCTTCAAATGTATGCATAGGCGACGGATATTTCCAGACGGTGTCGTGATTAGGTTCGCTGATCGCGACAGCGCAATCCGGATATCAAGTGAGCTACGAAGATGGCGCGCTTCCATCCTGATTGTTGTAGTGATGTACTTCCGTCTACTGGTGCGTGTTGGTTTCAGCGACAAGCTCGGGAGACAAAGCCGGGTTAGATGCGGTTAGTGTGAGCTGACTACGTCACCGAGCTTTAACTTTCCATCTTGATTCAGCAGACAGCTACCTAGGTATACCACCAATTTTAGTCTGTCGGCTGTAGTAAACATGGCTGAACTGCAAACGCCACTCAAGAGTATCTTGAACTTTCGCGATGTCAGCCAGTTTGTCAATGAAACAACAGGAACTAGGTAATCCACCGAAGCGCCTTGAGATTAGTCTTGCGCTGACCGTGCTGCAGCCGTCTAAGGAACGGCTTACTGTTCCGAAGTGCACGACCTGGTGCGTACCTCCCACACATGCCTTGGCGCGAGGTTGACTTTTGAAGATGAGGCCTCTTTCCAAGACAGGCAGAGATTGCTGAAGGAATATGGCGTGAAGAGCATCATCGATCTACGAACGAAGTAGGTAGACGCGACGCTCAGGAGCTGACATCGTGTTGACCGGTTAGAACAGAGCATATCGAACAGGCGCAAAAGCACGATGCAAGAATCAAAGCGTCAGCAGCAGTCCCTCAAACCAACGACGACGCAGCGGAGCCCCTCAAGATACCCGGCATAATCTACCACGAAATCAATTTCAATGGCTCGGCCTTCTCGCGCATGTTGCTTTCGAAACTCACATGGCTTGAGTTCTTCAGGCTCGCAGGGCTCATGATTGTCGGCTACCGCAAGGATGCGATCAAAATCTTAGCTCCTCACATGGAAGACATGGGTCTTGTCGGACTGGCCGAGCAGTCGCTGGACGTGTGCACCCGCGAAGTCACACAGGTCTTTGATGTATTAGGAGAAGAGAAGAACTGGCCAGTTTTGGTCCACTGCACGCAGGGCAAGGACCGAACCGGGCTCATAGTCATGCTGGTCCTGTTGCTCCTCGGTGTGGATCAAACCACTATCGACGAAGACTATCGCCTATCCGAGCCAGAACTCGAGCCAGAGAGGGAGGGAAGGCTGAAAGAGATGGCATCAATTGGTCTGACCGAACAGTTTGCGATATGTCCCCCAGACTTGGTAAGCCATGTAAACTCTTATATGGTCGAGAAGTACGGCAGCGTGGAGAAGTACCTGGAGAAAGCCGGTGTGGCCAAGGAGAAGGTGGACTTTGTTAGGGGGAAGCTACTAGCGGACGCGTCGAGGTCCTGAGCTCCAGGGCTTGCCCCGCCCTTATGCTAGAACCAAGCTTGGCAAATCTGAAAATTGTTCCCATCTGGACAAAGTTGTCGTTAATCTTGGTGAAAATAAAGGGTCCTCAGATCATACACGTGTATGACCGAAGAAGGAACGAGCCTATATGTTGGTGAGAAAGCCTATCGCGTAGACTAGAATTCATGGCAAGATACTGGACGTTGAGGTGTGGGTGATTGTGAACTTCCGCCCCACACGCCTTATCAACAAGGCAGAGTTATGCTGGCAATGTTGCAACGTATGTCGCGCCAATCCATGGGAGTCGCCGTCGGTGTGCTGGGAGTGGTCTGAAGCTAGGCTACGAGTCGACCTCCTGCAGGGCCAGTGCAGGGGGGCAGGCGCAACCCCAGTGCGTTCGCTTAGTAGATTCACCGCCGTTAAAGGCTCGGGATCCCAACACGTTTACCTCCCATCTTGCAAAATTGCTCCGCGGTACGCAAGATGAGCAGCAATACCTCTGAGGAGAACTTCGAGTGGGTTGAGACGCCGCCGGCGCCCTCGCCCACGACGCCCGAGTTCGACTGCGGCGTCAAGACGACATCGGTATGTGGTTGCATGTGGTCAATTTAACGAGCACCCCACCAGCCATTGAGCGTCAACACCGCGGGCCCGTAAGCTGACATTTGGCGATCAACAGTACCCGACCATTGCGAATGCTCCTCTGCCCGCTGAAGGTTCCGGTCGCGATTCGTTCAACAACTATGCCCTCATCTCGCTGTTGGTGGGCGTCCCCGCCTACATCACCTGGAGCTGGGGCATGGGCTTCAAGACATGGGTTTTCCTCGCCCTTGTCCTCTTCCTCCCCATTCTAGGTCCCTTCTGGTGGCTCACCTCTGAGTTCGCGCCCCGCAAGAACGAAAAGGCCAAACTGCCCGGCAAGCCCATCGAGCACTACCTCAAGTTCAACAAGCCCGAGGACCGCGACGCATACTACGGCAAGAAGCAGATCCCCATCGAGACGTTCCAGGAGAAGTACTTCGACGGCGAGGTAGAGCTCAATGGCGACATGCTCGAGATCCTCGAATGGCGCCACGACTGGTCCAAGCCCCGCTTCACACTTGGATTGATCAAGCACTTCCTGTTTGGCATGATTCCCGAGATGATCGTCCACTCCAGGTCCCAGGGTACGTGTCTAGACGATTTATCGACTGATGATATGCTGACCCCGCTTCAGACGAAGAACAGGTACGCGACCACTACGACCGCGGTGACGACTTCTACGGCTGGTTCCTCGGCCCACGCATGATTTACACCTCCGGTATCATCTCCGACATCAACACCGAAGAGAGCCTCGAACAGCTCCAGGACAACAAGATGTCAGTCGTCTGCGAAAAGATCGGCCTGAAGAAGGGCGAGAAGATGCTCGACATTGGCTGCGGTTGGGGAACCCTCACCAGGTTCGCCTCCGTGAACTACGGCGCTCACGTCACTGGTGTCACTCTCGGTCGCAACCAGACTGCTTGGGGCAACAACGGCCTTAGGAAGTCTGGCATCGAAGAGAGCCAGTCCAACGTTCTCTGCATGGACTACCGTGATATTCCCCTTCCTCCTGGTGGCTACCAGAAGATTACCTGTCTCGAGATGGCCGAGCACGTCGGTGTCCGCCACTTGAGCTCCTTCTTCCGCCAAGTTTACGACATGCTCGACGACGATGGTGTCTTCTTCCTCCAAATCGCTGGTCTCCGTAAGGCTTGGCAATTCGAGGACTTTACCTGGGGTCTCTTCATGAACAAATACGTCTTCCCCGGTGCCGACGCTTCTACTCCCCTTGGTTTCGTCATCGACACGCTCGAGGGTGCTGGTTTTGAGGTCAAGATGGTCGACACTATCGGTGTACACTACTCTGCTACACTCTGGAGGTGGTACCGCAACTGGCTCGCCAACAAGGAGAAGGTTGTTGCCAAGTACGGTATTCGATGGTTCAAGGTAAGCAACGGGTCGCGTACTTATATTGCTAGATGCTAATCATGTCCAGATCTGGGAATACTTCCTCGCCTACTCTACGATCGCCTCCCGCCAGGGAACTGCTACCTGCTTCCAGATCACTTGCGTCAAGAACCTTAACGCTGTCCACCGCATCGACGGTATCAACACCCAGTTCAGTCTGTCTGCTGCGCTCGCTGCTAGCAGGGCGAAGCTGTCCAAGGCGCAGTAAGCTTCACGTGTGACGATGTATCCGGATTTCGCCTAGTATCGTATGCATATTACAGCACGAGTACGAAAGCAGAGGAAACATATAGGACGGCTTTCAGAATCTACGAGAAAGAGACGTGGGGGTGGTTGAAATAGGGGCTGAAGTAAGATGGTAGTCAGTGGCCGAAGCCGTTGGTTTGATACAGCCCACAGGGCTTGTCAACATTCATGAACATGAGAATATGCACACTCATGGAAGGATTATGTATCTTGAGAAAGCATAAACTAACGTTACGCATCTCACTGTCTGTCCCATGCTGACATTTCGTAATGAGTTTAAAAACACAAGCCACACCTGCGTCTCCACTCAAGCGACCGATTCTGCCTGATGCGTTTGATTCTAGCTGCTATTCTATGGACGCAAACTATCCCCAATCGTGTTCCTTCTCCACTCGGCACCTCGGGTTGTCCCCACGATACCTTTACTTTGACTCATATTCCCCACTATGTTACACTCATCTTTTACCAACTTGGAATGTTTCCAAGAACTCCTGGTTTTCGCCAACTACAATTATTTACTAATTTGCAAATTTCCCATCAAAACAGATCACCAAGGGTAAGCATCACCGCACAACTACCCCTGTTCTACAGTCAAACTAACAACCCTACCGTGGTATGGTCTAGTGGTATGACGTCGCGTTGTGGCTGGCGGACAACTTAGCTTGTCCCGATCCAGATCCGCGCCAGCCTGGGTTCGAGTACGTTTGAACCTCCTAAATTGAGTCGGTTTACTGAGACATTGTTCACTAACATGTCTATAGTTCCCAGTACCGCCAATTTGCGACACTTCTTTTTTTGCAGATTTTTTGCTCCTCCTTTTTCCTT